AGAGTTACCTTGCCCCATGCTGGTGAAAAGGAGCAGTCTGGGTTGTATACCGTAGACTCCTCCTCCGACGCCGTGGTCAGTCTTTGAGCCGTCATTATACCAGATGTGGCTGTCCTTCCAGGGTTTAGATCGTTCATAGTCCCAGTTATTCCTGTCATGGAAAAAGACCTTGAAGTTATGTGAGAAATTAAACCTCGGTAGTCACAGGTCCACAAAACTTATGCGCAATCAACTTAAGTCATCGTTTTAAAAATTTTGAAAATTATTGGAACATTCGACGAGTGCTTAACCTGTACAGTGTTTTTATCTAGTAGTCAAAGTTAAAAAGGGGCATATTATATTAAAAAAAAGAAACTTTGCTGCCTTTTCTCTCATGAGGCGATTTCTTAGAGGCTCGTATATAAGGCCGGCTGCACTGAACAATTCCTCACTTGGAACGCTGGAGGGTGAAGCGCTCACATATTTGCGAACCAGATCTGTCAATTTGTCATACTTTAGTTTAGTTTTCCACCAATCGAGAGGATTTTCACCATTATTATTATTATTTTGTCATTATTTATTTATCCTTTGCCACAAACTTATGTGGGAAAACTGTCCCCCTACTTATCCCTTCTTTCCTATTTAAAGTCAAAGGGTAAGCTCCTTCAATTGGGATTTCCCGCTGAAATGTTCAATGTCTGGCTAAAAAGAGAATCGATGCTCAAATAATTAAAAAAATGTAAGTCTGACCTTTAGTTAGGTAAAAATTACGTAACTATCGGAGACACTCATCATTCGTGATTCCAATAACTCAAATGCTTATAAAAAAATATTTTTTGTTTGCTTTTTTTAAAAAATAACAATGTTTTGATACGATTCGGCTGGCAGCCACGACTTTGAAAATAGAATTTAGTTCAAAATTTTCATTCCTGGAAAATAATAATTTATTTTCCATATCCACCTATTTAGCTCACTTTTGAAACCAGTCACAAAAGAAAATATTAAAAATGAATTACAAAAACTAAAATCGAAAAATGCTGATGGCGTTAAAGGTTCTCCAAGTTCTGAAACAGCCCAAGGAATGAGAATGAAGTAGAGATGGGCAAAAGTCGTGCTTTTCTACGTTGACACATCGTGTCACGCTTTTTCACGCGTGAGCGTGAGCGGCTTTCAGTGAAAAATTACGTAATATGCGTGATCGTGCGCGCCTGAAATTTTTGCGTGCGTGAGTGTACGTGAGTTAGATTTTCGTCAATCACGTCATTTTCACATATGTATGTATGTACTTATTTGTATTTTAATCTAAAATAAATTCGTAAACTTACTGTTTAACTTTCACTAGGGTGGCAACATTTATTCTGTTTCCTTTGACATTGGAGGCATTCTGTAATATTAGGTTAAGTGAATAGACGCTTCAAACAAGCTTGTAGGCTATTTTAAACATACCGAACTCAATAAGAAACTATCAAAGTCTTTAAAGCAACATGTTAAGACACGGTGAAACTCGTTATTTATAATGCTGTCAAGCATTCACGAAACGCGACAAGAAGTTCAACAATTATTAATAGAAAGAAATTAGCTTCATAAACTATCTAAGCGCGGTTATAAATCCAACCATCCATGAGTATATTCTGTGGTACAAAAAACTACAAAAACATTGTGAAGTGAATGCATCTGATTCTGAAGTCATCATCGATTTGAAAAAATAAGCACAGCTGTTGCTTTAAACAAAGATTCCAACCAAGTTTAATCCATTTTCTGGGATTGTTTTTAAATCCTCCGTTTAAAAAGTTACAGTTTATATCTGCAGAACAGCGCGAACATATAATAGGGACAGTAAAAGCAATGCTTGAAGATAACTAAAGAGCGAAATACACCACACAAGCGGCTTGTCAAACATACTTTTCCCATTTTGCCATAGACCATGCAAACATGAGTCGTTCAAGCACAGAATTTTAGTTTTTCTTTCGGTTAACAATGTAAAACATTTTACTTTTCTACCATTATTCTCCCTTACGTCTTCACTTGGTGAAATTTCAGTTGCAATTGAGGCGATTTTACCATCCACATCGCAAGCGGTTTGATCAAACGTCAACATGGCGGCCAGAAAATCAAAAAAATTTGATTTTTGCTCAAATTTCCCTCAAGCGGTTTGTCAAACCTTCAAACACCCCATAGACAGCACAAATGGCTTGAAGCAAAGGGAAATTTCGCTTGGTTTGTCAAGCCGCTTGTGTTGTGTATTTCGCTCTTTAGGTAGACATGCACTTGAAGAAAAGAGCGCTCGCCCTCAGCACGATTCCCAAATTCTGGATGATGATATCCCTTCTACCTCGAAAAGGGCAAAAACCCGTGCAACTTTTGACGAATTCAAAGATGCGACAAATGAATCTGCAGAAACAGTTTTTGAAGAAATGTTTTAAAATTTTGGGAGAAAGCTAAAGATTTGCCCCTTCTTAGAAGTCTTTCAAGACATATTTTAAACATACCAGCTAGCTCAGCAACTAGTGAAAGAGTTTTTTCTGTGTGAGGCAGAATTCTGGAAGAAAGACGTACACGATCAGACTTCCTCAGTGGGATTCGATCCAACGACCCCAGCTGATTCTGCCATTCGAAAGAGTCTAAAAATGGGAAGAAAACCTCATCATTTTTAACTTATTAAAAAATTAGCAGAATCGGTATCACCAATCGCGAGAAAAAAGTTAATAGCTATAACTTCCAAAATAATTCGAATTTCGAAAAATTTTAAACAAATAATTGCACAAAAAAAAGTTCGACCTTCGCGAAAATGGTGGCCCACTTCACAAATTTTTACTCCTACATATTAGTCAAATTCGAGTTTTACACAAAAAGCAGTCCACTTTTAAATTTAAATACTTCCAGAGTGGTTCGAAATATGTTAATAAATCTCTGAAATTTGACGTGTATCTGGGAGTCATCTAACAAAATATTTTCGAAAAAACTGTTCATGGCTTTAATTTTATATACATACATACAGGCCGGAGAAAAGTATTGGCACAGTGAACTTTCGCAATATAAACATAGCTTTTTATTCTAATTTATTTTCGATAATTTTTTATAAAAAAGATAGTTCATTCCACCCCAAAAAAAACATAAAAATAAAATCTCTTAACTTTGTGCAAAACTCAGGAAAATTCAATAAATTTACATCTTACTATTCAGATTTTTTAGAAAATTATGCAGTTGTTAAGCCCATTCAATTTTAGTACAGTGCAAATTTTAATTGAAATTTGATTTGAAGGTGTGGCTCATTTTCTCCATACAAAAAATAGTTGTCGAACATACTTTGTATGGAAGAACCTGCGTGTAAAAAAATGCCAAAAATCAACGTGATTTTCTAGCAACTTCAAACTTGCACTTTGTTATACTATAATTGAATGGGCTATAAAATCTGAATAGAAAGTTGCAAATTACTATGAAAATTTATTGAATTCGAGACTATAGTTTAATGTTTTTTGGTGTAGAATGAATATATTTTTATAAAAACTTGTCGAAAATAAATTAGAATAAAAGCTTAGCTTATATTGCGAAAAATTCATTGTGCCAGTCAAGGCACATTAAACAGGTAGTATCAGTAGAGCAAAAACAACATTTGCGTGTATTTTGTTTTCGCTTCTGGTATCGAAAGTGTCAACAACTGTTCTGAATTTTTTCTTCTAAATCAAAGGGTGCCATGTGAAATACAAAAATAATAATAAATTTAAATTGGAAAAAATAACAATTGTTGCAAACTTTCTTTCCTAGTAAATTTGTTTGCTTCTCGAAGCATTGATCTATCCTTTACAAGGGCCAGTAATCAGCGGTTGTGCTGCTGAGTTGGGCGAACGTTCCAAAAGCTGCTATTCAATCGCTTGTTTTGTATGGAAAAAGGTTTCACATCCAAATGGATTTTAACAATTCAGAATTTTTGTGAGAAAAAATTAAAAATATTTGACATTTTCGAGACCAAATAATTTGAAAATAAATCAAATCAGCTGCTCTACTGATTCTACCTGTTCAATGTACCTTGGTGCCAGTACATTTGTCCGGCTCTGTAAGTATATGATAAATGTTTACCCAGCCAGCAAAATCATCGTAAACAAGCTCGTAATTGGATATTTTCTCGAAGAAAAACCGCATTAAAAATCGTTTATGATAGCCGTTTACGACTCTTTTTCGAGCACTTTTTCGCTTTAAATTGTGCATCGCCTACGAACAGTCGTAAACGGATCGAAAAAGCATTCGTATGCGAATATTTTTACGTCCGTTTTTTAATTGTAAACGAGTCTCGTAAACGATTAATTTACGTTAAAAAAGCGTTTTTTTACACTGCTTTATCTACTGTTTTTGAATGCTAAAAATAAAGGCAATTAATTAATTCAAATTATTGTAGTTCTTTTATTGAATGGAATTATAATTAATAAATATTTATAGTGCCGGATCAAAGTATTGGCACAGAGAATTTTACGCAATGTATGCAAAGTTTTTTACCTGAATTTCTTTTCGCACTTTTTTTTTTTTTATATAGTTAGTATGAAGACCTACTTTCGAATCAGATTTTTGAGAAAAA